TGTTGTATATCTCTGAGTATACTGTATTCGTGTACTGGCAGCAGCAGCAGCGGTTAGCAGCAGCGAGCGCAGCACGGTAGCTGGATGTTTTAGGTAGTAGTTACCTACTTATGTTAGTCAATGTCATTGTCGTGTTAAGAAGTTAATATGGGTGGAGGCGGCGTCGGTGACCTAGGCTGGTGCAACGGCCCCAACCGATTCGACCGATATTTCCGAAGAGACGCGCCGTAGCACGTCGGTGGAAATCGTTCATTCAACCCTCGTGCACTTTCTTGGCTAATTTCACCGGGCGACAAAAATCGTTCGCCCCCGAGGCGGCGCCCTTGCGCGACAGCGCGCGGAAGGAGACGTTTCGTATTTTCGATGTCCGAGAGAATGCTTCGGAATGAGAGCGATGCTGGATGGAGATCGCTATGATGGAAGATCGTTTATGATTCTCGGAAAAACTAAACGGACTTCTCCGTTTATTAATTGATAAATTAACAATAATTATAATAAATTGGCACGATAGGTCGAAGCTTTCTGAAAATTCGGAAAGGCTGAGAACTGATCGATTCGTCGACCATTAAATGAGCCGTTTATTTTGAAAGTGGCATAAGTCACTTCACCGTAACGAAAAGTGGTGATTTTTTAATGTTTATACGAAATTATTTATACCGAGAAAAATATCAGTATCCTGAGATAACAAGTACAAGTAAATCTTCTCGAAAGTTAGCATCGATATTTTTAAACGTGTTAAAACGCAAACCCTTAAATATATCGACTTATGTCACTTTCAAAATAAACGGCTCGAATCGACTAATTATTTTCGGCAACTTGAATAACGGGCGCGCGAAGAAGGATTATTTCATCGATCGGACGACCAACGATCGTCCAGCTGGATTTGCACAGCAGTTACCTGAACGATGCACGAGGGTTCAAGAAAGAAAGAAAGAAAGCTCCTTGTTCGGACGAAAATTGCAGCCAGCCAGGATCGCAGATAGCAGTGTTGGTTTGCGACGACTAGCAGAGTCGTTTGCGGTGGTATTTATTGTACAAGTAGTTGGTAGTTAGTAGTAGTAGTACTATTAGTAGCATTAGTAGAAGTAGTAGTATTAGTAGAAGTAGTATTAGTAATAGTAATAGCAGTAGTAGTAGTAGTAGTAGTAGTAGAAGTAGTATTAGTATTTGTATGGTAGAAGACTGTACAGTGGTAGTTGGCTGTCGATATTCTTCTTCAACCACGAGCTCGTTACAGAAAAATACACAGATCGTGGCCTCCCAGGCTTTCTGGTGCCGCTATAGCACAACTACACGCCTCGTGTGACCATACGTATGTAGTTGTACAGGCGACGGGGCTATAGATCTCGGTCGCATCGCAAGTCGCAACGAGTTCATCGAGCAGGGAGTTGCGTGTTTTACGATCCAGTGTCGTGCTGGTCTCGTTATCGGTCGGCGAAGTTTCGAAGAGAAAGAGAGTAAGAGGGACAGAGTGAGAGAGAGAGAGAGAGAGAGAGAGAGAGAGAGAGAAGTAAAAAAGATCAAATTCGGCTAGCACGTCGAGAACCCGAGCCTCCGGAAGGGAAAACGTGAGAAAAAAGAAATCGCCGCCTGATCGAAACACGAAGCGCACGGCGTCGATCCTGATCCATGCGTTTCGCGGTGCATACGAGGCGCGTGCAACGTGCAGCGCTATTAAAAACGACCCGAACCAGCGGCGTCGATTCGGACACCGAAAGGGCAAAAGATTTCGATTCCCGTCGCCGACGCAGGCGCGAGAATCAACCGCCCGAGCTGACGCATGCGCACGGAGTCCCGCGCAGAGGACGCCTGCCGGCCGAACGTTACGATTCCGAACCACGATCGGACAGAGACTCCGCGTTGCGTCGCCGTCGTAGTTCGGGATCGCGATACTCGCGGGACTCTCCGCGCATGCGCCGTTCTCGCGTGGTTGACTTTCGTGCCTGCCCCGACCGCCGCACCGCTCCGAACACAGCGACTGGGAAGCTCGTTGCGCGAATTTACAGGTGTAAACGGTAATTAGCCACCCCCTGGCCACCGGTAGCTTTTTAATAACATATTTTCGACGAGGCGAAAAGATTCGCGCGTAACGTTGATGCAATAGAGAACCTTCAAGAGACTCATTAATCTCGGTCCGGTAATTAATGAATCGTAGCGTTTCAAGTGCTTCCTAGTACATAGTCGCTGCGTTCGGTGCACCGGTACTGCTTCCGACGGAAAGCATTCGCTCGGAAAAGTAGGATGTTGTGCTGCAAAAATGATCCGTGGTGTCCGCAGGTTGGAACACGGGATAACGGTTCGATTCTCGGATATGTGTATTGCAAACGCAGATTTCTCTGGGATCGCGACCGTTCGTTCAATTTCCTTTGCCCGCGTTTCTGTCGGAGAACGTTGCAACGTACATACGCCGCGTCTCGGAAGTTTCAACCTCGACAAACACGAATGTGTGTACTCGAGCGATAATTTGTCGAATACGTCTCTTATCTGGCGAACGGTAAACGATATTATGTAACAAATGATATCGACAAATTACGTAACAGATTGGAACATTCTTCCAGATCGTTAACCGGAGATATATAAAATATTGATTCGCGGTCCCATTGAACGAGCAATTCGAAACTTCCGAATGTCAGTGTACGCGACACAGGCTGAGTCAACGAGAAAACTTCCGTTTCGAACGACGCATTTACCTGATCGAACCAAAATTTGTTAATCGATTCCAAACGTTCGGTCTTTCGAATCGTAACTTCGCGTTCAGAGCTGGGTTAAATAAAATATTTTATTCGTTATGACAAATTTTTAAGATAACATTTGATTCGAAAAACACTGAAAATATTTGTATCATAGTTCGGAATATTTTATTTGTTTACTTCATTTCAACAAATAAAATTATTTCATTTTATTTAATTTCATCTCATTTATTTCGGTAATCTAAAACGAACGAAGCAACTTTTCCTCTACATTGTTTTTATGTTATGAAAATAAAAACTATCTTATCTTGCGTTTTAGATTATCAAAATAAAAAAATTCTATTTTCACGATTTAGCTTTAGGTACATGGTAAATGAGATATTTATTTCATGCTTTAGCAGTCGCGATTATCGAAGTAAAATATTTCATCAACTGAAATTTTATGTCCTGCTTCAATTACTACTTTATTCGAATCGCGAAGAATCTATTATCTAAAATAGTATTTTAATCATTTCCTCTATAAACATTACCCAGCTCTGTCCGCGTAAAATAGAAAATCTTTCTAGCCGGAAGTTTTCGGCTCACCCTGTGTGCAAGCACGATGGAATCGACCGCCGCGTCGCGCGACTGCTTCGCGTCGGATCCGCCCGTTGTATAGCGAGTAAACGCGACTAAACGCGAATAAAAGAATTGCTCCCGGTTCCGCGGTGGAAAACGACGGAAAAACACCGGGAGAGAAAAGAAAGGTGACGAGGTCGCGGGAGAGCGTTCTCGAGATAAGCGAGCGTTTATCGATTCCCTCGGAGCCGGAAGCGTGCACGCGGGGTCGGAGCGTCGGATCGAATCGTAACCGACTCGCCGGAGTCCTCCAAGGACCGAGAGAAAGATGGCGAAGACGATCGCGTCGGTACGACCTTGGAACCGCGCGCGTCCGGCCAAGGAGTGGGGGCAGGCACGGGCAACGAGCGCGCTTCGCTTCGGGAGCATGCTGGGTCCGCGTCGCGAACGCCCTCCACGATTCGGTAGGCGGTGACTCCGCGGGCGTGGCGGGCGTGGCGAGCACCGTCCCAAAAACGGCAATCCGCGTTCTAGACTCTAAACCAGGCACGATATCCAAACACGAACACGGAAGATTCGGTACAATGTGCAGTACGAATTTCAGTACAGAATCGTCTGTTTCGATTCGACGGATAGCGCACACTGTTCCGAGTGGGCGTGGCTTAGCTGCTCCCAGAGTCTGCGAAGTCAGGACAGTGTAACGGATAGCGAACTATAATCATGCCTGCTCTAGACTCCAAGATAGTCGAAAGGAGAAGACCGTGTCCCACTTCTGAATAAAATGTCGCGAGTAGACTTTGACCCCACGGAAAGCGAGGGTCCACAGGGCCCGTGCCTGGCTGTAGATTCTAGAGAATCGGAGGCAGAGATAGACGAGACCGAGCCGTCCTCCGAATAAAATGATCGGGCGTGGCTCCGCAGCTCCCGCAGATCTCGCTGCCCATGAGTTGCCCGAGTCGCGGTCGTGGTGGGGGGCGTGCTCGAACACCGACGCTCCGGGGGCGTGGCGGAACGCGGTTCGCTGTATTTACGTGTGTTGTGTGAGTCCGGAGGCGGGCCTCGGGCCCTCGAGCCCTCGCGGGCAGGGTCAGGAGCGCGACCGAGTCGGACGGGAGCGGGAGTGGGGGGGCGGTAGGCGCGGAGGCAGCCAGAGGAGGGGAGGACTAAAAACGAGCTGTGCGTGAAAACAGGCGGAAAGGGTATTCTTCCCCTTTCTTTCGTTGGTAGACTTATATGGCTAAAAAGCGATTCACTCACCTCCCTGGTCATCGAGCGCGACCAGAGTACGGATGCCAGCCTCCTTGCTCTACGACAGACAGAGGCAGCACAACACAGACAACCACCACCAGTGTTAGAGAGATGTTTTTTTTTCTTTCCTTTTTTTTCTNAATAAAATGATCGGGCGTGGCTCCGCAGCTCCCGCAGATCTCGCTGCCCATGAGTTGCCCGAGTCGCGGTCGTGGTGGGGGGCGTGCTCGAACACCGACGCTCCGGGGGCGTGGCGGAACGCGGTTCGCTGTATTTACGTGTGTTGTGTGAGTCCGGAGGCGGGCCTCGGGCCCTCGAGCCCTCGCGGGCAGGGTCAGGAGCGCGACCGAGTCGGACGGGAGCGGGAGTGGGGGGGCGGTAGGCGCGGAGGCAGCCAGAGGAGGGGAGGACTAAAAACGAGCTGTGCGTGAAAACAGGCGGAAAGGGTATTCTTCCCCTTTCTTTCGTTGGTAGACTTATATGGCTAAAAAGCGATTCACTCACCTCCCTGGTCATCGAGCGCGACCAGAGTACGGATGCCAGCCTCCTTGCTCTACGACAGACAGAGGCAGCACAACACAGACAACCACCACCAGTGTTAGAGAGATGTTTTTTTTTCTTTCCTTTTTTTTCTTTTTTTTTTAGTAGTAGGTATATAGTATAGTAATATTAAGTAAGTATATTAGTAGTATATAAGTATTACGGTTAGGCAGAGGCGGAGGGTGTGCGGAGAGAAGTTGGTGGAGAGAAGTGGGCTGAAGATGCTAAGTTTTATATATATCTTTTTTCTCGAGCTACTTTTTTTCCCCTTTGTTCGTTTATCGTTCTTTTGCCGTAAATACATATATATAAATATACATGCATACATACATACGTATATATCTTTATATTTATATTATAATATATATTTTATAATATATCTTTATATTTATATAAATATAAAGATATATATATATATATATATATATATATTTATATGTGTATATTTATATATGTATATACAGTATTTGTTTGTTGCTAATCGAACGGTGCTAGATGTACAAGTACATCGTGACCGGATCGTTTTATCTGTTTATGGGGAAAGGGGCATTGTAACGCGTGGTATACAGTTACGAGAGTGAGAGGTTGATCGATTTTGGTCGTATATACTTTGTGGTCTTTTCGAAACGTATCTCTGCATATGTATATGTATATGTATATATATTTATACGATACGTATGTAGAGATATTTTTGGTTGTTGTTGGATGTTGTACTTGAAAGCGGGTCTGGATGAGACGCTCTCTCCCTATTATCTATCGTTGCTGTCTGTTTTGATTGTTTCTCTACGGATACTTTTATTTTTGGTTAAATCGGTGGCCGTTGACGCGCGGTAATCGGCGCGCTTCGATTCGGCCCCTGTGTGATGGTGCAGAGAGACGGGTGGGCAGAGTTTCGATTATATAAATCGAAATATAGTTTTATACTTTGGCACGGACTCACACGGTTCTTTTGTCTAGAGGCACATTGTAGAAATCTATTTGTGGTGTCCGATATTAATTTACAGATATACAGGTCTCGGTGTCCGGCCGCGATCTCGGGCCTGTCGCTTGTTGTTGCTGTTGTGGTTCTTGATGTTGTTATCGATCATGGCGATGTTGTTCTTGTAGAGTAGTAGTAGTAGTAGTAGTAGTAGTAGTAGTAGTAGTAGTAGTAGTAGTAGTAGTAGTAGTAGTAGTAGTAGTAGTAGTAGTAGTAGTAGTAGTAGTAGTAGTAGTAGTAGTAGTAGTAGTAGTAGTAGTAGTAGTAGTAGTAGTAGTAGTAGTAGTAGTAGTAGTAGTAGTAGTAGTAGTAGTAGTAGTAGTAGTAGTAGTAGTAGTAGTAGTAGTAGTAGTAGTAGTAGTAGTAGTAGTAGTAGTAGTAGTAGTAGTAGTAGTAGTAGTAGTAGTAGTAGTAGTAGTGGTAGTGGTAGTAGTTATAGTAGTTGGCAGCAATAGTAGTAGGAGTAGTAGTAGTAGTTGGCAGCAATAGTAGTAGTAGTAGTAGTAGTAGTAGTAG